AAGAAAGCAGAACCAAAGCCTTCACCCCCTCCTCCTCCACAGAAAGTCACCCCCCCTGCAGGTACTCTGCTGGTTTCCTTCTTCTCTGAACTTCCTGTTCAGCCATGTTTAGTTTTGTTTTATTTTCTTGGTGGTTTTTGCTGTGTTGGTATGTTCTTGGTTACCTTAGTGTTTTTTTGAATGTGTCTCTGGTGTAATCGCAAATTATCTCCTCCAGAGGAGAAGAAGCCAGAACAAAAACCTTCACCACCTCCTCCTTCTCAGAGGGTTGCTCCTCCCACAGGTAGTTTGCTTTCTTTAATATCTTTTCTTGCAAACTTTGGATGTTCGCTTTGCTTCTTATTTGGAGAAAAGTCCAGAGTTTCTCTTTGTTGTTATTCTGTGAGCTGTTTGTTGTTCCTGTGGTTCTGTCCATCACATCTGTGAGAGTCCGCAGACCATCCCGTTGTCTCGTCCTTATCTTGCATCTTATTTATTATTTCCTGCAGAGGAGAAGAAACAGTCAGTAGCAGCACCACCAGCTCCTACGCCCAAAGTTGCTCCTCCTGCAGGTAGTTTTTCAGTCTGGTGTCTCTGATCTGGTTTCCTTCTTCTGATGTATTTGTCTGTCATTTGTCATAACGCTTGGTCACATTGACATCTTTCGTTACGTTGTTCATTATGCTTTCCTCTTATCTTGTACTCTCAAGTGTCTCCTCCGGAAGAAAAGAAGCCTTCTCCAGTATCCAAAGAACCGGCAGCGGAGAAACTTGTTCTTCCAGCAGGTAGTTTCTTCTGTCTCTTATCCTTCCCTCCATGTCTGTTGGTCTTCTGTCAAATCTGTTGTTCACAGCAGCAGTGCAATCTTTCAGTGGCTGGTTTTATTTAGCTGTGGTTTGTTTCTTGAACTGATCTAAATTGAACTGATTCTTGTAGCTCCAGTTGCACCAGTGGAGAAGAAACCAGAGCCAGCTGGAAAGGCTGAACCTATCAGCGTCTCTGAGAAAATCTCTCCTCCTGAAGGTACCGTTTCTTCCTTCTTTCTTTGCCTATGTGTCGTCTTTTTATTCTCAAAACTTTATTCTCTTAATTACCTTTGCATCTTTTCTCTATGAATCTTTCATGTTTGACTTCTCAGCTGTTTTCATTCTACTAATCCAGTATTTCACATCAGCTGCATCCATTTTATGACTCCAATGATCTTAGAAATAGTTTTTACATGTTTTGCAGGAATAAATGGATGCTCAGCAGAGCAAAGGGGACGGTTTTGTCTTTAGCGTTGAATGTTGCTTTAGTCTGGCTCTGTTTGTATCGTCTGTGCTTATAATTGGTCTTATTTACATTTTTACAGACAAGGAACCAGTTTCAGCTCCTGGACCAACCAAAGGTATAAAACCGATGAACTGTTTTCTTGTTTTTTTTTAAGGGTTTACCCACAAACCTTTGAGAATACTTGTTTCAGTGTTGGTGTAATGTCTGACCTGTGTGCTCACCCCCAATGGATGTTTTTCACATGTCTGAATGTTACAGAATATGTCTCTGCTCCCTCAAACACAGCCCCTACTCTTAGACAAAAGGATAAAATTCCTATTCAGGAGGAAAACACTGAGGTTCCTAAACCAAAACCTAAAGTCACCAAAATACCAAAAGTAAAGGAGCCAGAGAGGGAGACCGTCCAGCTGAAGAAGGTTCCAGTAAAACCTCCAGAGCCTGAGAAGGAGGTCATAACCCATCAGACTGAAGTGATGAAACATCAAACCTCCGAACTATCAGTGCGAGGACTTCATGACAGAGAAGACCGAGAGATAATAACCTTCGGAAGAACCGAACGAGTCTTCACAGCACAACAGGAAACAATTCAGCTGAGCCAAAGTGAGGAGATGGAAACTCTTCAGATAATCAAAGCGGCGGAGAAAGAGGTTTGGACAAGAACCGCAAAACCCAAGAAAGAAGAAGAAGCCAAAGTTCCAGATGTAGAGAAGAAGAAAATCAAGAAATTGCCAAAGACAGATGAGCCAAAGGAATCTGTAAAACTAAAACCAGTCGAAAGGTCTGAGAAGTTCGAACAAGAGCCGGTCAAAGCGAGACCGGTTCCTGGTACCGAAACAACAAAAGACCCAGAAGTCAGAGTTCAGAGGCCTAAGGAGAGAGAAGATGGAGAGATAAACCCACCTGGAAGACCTGATAGAGTGGCTCCCCTTGCTGAAGAGCCATCTGAAGGTGTTCCAACAGCAGAACCCAAACCGCCACAGGAAGAAGGCAAAACCCCACTGATCAGAACCACAAAGGCAAAAGGCGAAGAACCTCAGCCAGATTTATCCAAGAAGAAGATTAAGAAATTACCCAAGAAAGACGAAGAACAAGAGGTTGTGACGTTAAAGCCTTTTCAAAAACCTGCAGCGGTTGATCAAACACCAGATGTTAAGGTTTCCAAGACAGCTGATAAGCCCAAAGTAAGTCCCCAATCAGAGGGGAAGGAGAAGCAAATCACAATGAAGACTAAAGTCCCCAAGCCAGAAGATGGGCAGCAGATAAAGGAGCTCTCTCAACGTCCGAGGGACCAAACAGTCAAAGACATGAAGGACGTGGAGAAAGAGACTCCTGTGAAGAAGGAAGAACCTGCCCTTCCGGCCAAGAAGCCAAGTCCTCCTCCTCTTAAAGAGAAGATCTCGTCTACTAAGGCACAGAAGCTCCCAGAAAAACCAGACGATGTCCTAAAGAAAGGCGTTGGACCAAAAAAGACTCCTTCTCCCAGGGTCAGTGTGGATAAAGCAGAAAAGCCTGTTGAGGAGCTGCAGAAGGTTGAGTTGAAGACTCCGTCACCAAAGTTGGACGAGCAGAAGGAGGCAGAGAAAGTTCCAGCTCAGGGAAAGGCCTCCAAACCCGTTTCCCCCACCGAAGCCGTCACACTCAAGAAGGTCCCCATGAAGCCGTCGACAGATGAGGCCCCAGAACCAGAGCAGCCCCACAAAGGCGGGGTCCCCCTGCTGAAGGCCGTCTCTCCTGGAGCCGTCGAGATGACAAGAGTGACGACTCACCCCGAGGAGGAGGTTCATGAACAGGAGCCTGAAGAAGAGGTTGAAGAGGAGTCCTGGGGCTGGGACCTGGTTCCCTCCGAGGACTGGGAAGGTGAAGAGACAGACGGAGCCGTCCAAACGCCGGGTATGCCTGGTGGCAGACGAGGTGAGGCCGGCCCCCCCTTCCAGCTGATCCTGGACTCTCCTCATCTCATCCCAGAATTCCCATCTAATCCTCATCACATCTTCCACCATCCTCTCCATCTTTTAATCCCATTGTGATGACATCATCGGTCCGTTGTGTTTGTTTCATCATCCCATCTGTTCTCGTCTTCTCATCCATCATCCATGTCCTCAGTTGTCTGTCTGTCTTCGCTGCTGTAGACGTCTTCGTCCTCGTTGTCAAAGTGAATGTCCTCATTCATCACTTCATTTTGTCTCCATTCCATTTTCCAGGTCTTTCCGGTCTCTGTTCACATGTGACTCCTCATCATCCCATGTTTTTACAAATGTTGAAATGTTTGCGTTTTTTTCTTGCTGGAGCTTTACTTTCCAAACAAAGATGGAGGAGCTGTGCCTAAAACTGGTCTGATGTTTCTTGTTCAGATGGGAAACCAAGCGAGGAACCATCGAAGGGCAGAGGCAGAGGATTTGGGGGTGAGGAAGAAAAACCCCATCACTGTCAAATCTGCATGAGAATACCCTCCTATGTTGGTCTACGTGTTTATGGTGTCTCGTCTTGTTCATCATATCGGATCTTTTTGACCAACTGATAGTGACAGACTGGTCAGATAGGGAGACAACAGCACTGCAAAAACGATCTAGAAATAAGTAACAACCTCTTTAATCAAGTTAATTTATGCTTAATTTGAAACAGTATATGATAAGATTTGCAATGGAATGAGTATTTATATGATAATTGGATAATATGCGCTTAAAATAAGACAATGCAATTGTTTTTTTCTTATTTTAAAAGTAAATTGTCTTGTTTCATTGGCAAAGCTGATTCTTATTTGCCGGATAGTTTAAAGTTTTTGATTAGAGTTCAGAAGACAGTTTTCACATTTATTTTGAGGTAAATCAGCGGCCCAGTGAACATGCTTTTATACTTACTGATTTCTTTGTCTTCTGTCTATTTTCTCTGTTCTGTTAGTCATTCTGTCTCTTGTGTGAAATAACTTATCTATATCTTATATCTTTGGTCTTAACAGAGATGTTTCTGTGTTCTTCTAACACTACGACCTTTAACCCTCTTTTTGCGATGCATTTTCTTCTTCTAACCTCTGATATCTGGATCTAATGTGGAAAGCTTTCGTTTGTGATTCTGCAGCGAGGCAGACTCCATCTCCCGGTGATGGCGGCAAGGGTCGGGGCTTGAAGCCAGGTGGCAAAGGTCCATCGCCACCAGAGGAACCGTTCGCAGGCTTCAAGCTCAAACCAGTGGCTCTGAAGTTTGTCAAGAAGATCCAGGACATCGTTCTGCAGGAGGCTGAGTCCATCGGTTCATCTGCCGTGTTCGAATGTGAGGTCACGCCCTCCACAGCCATCACCTCCTGGATGAAAGATGGCGGTAACCTGCGTGAAGGTCCGAAGCACAAGTTCATCTCTGACGGCAAAGACCGGAAGCTGCACATCATCGATGTCCAGCTGTCGGACACTGGAGAATACACCTGCGTAGCCAAGAATGCTGGGAAGGAGATTTCCTGCACTGCTAAGCTCATCGTTGAAGGTAAAGAAAAAATAGGAGGCCTCGGGAGTTTGGTATTTCAAGCTGCCTTCACTGTTTTTTAAAACCGTCTTTCCTTAAACAGAGCTGCCTGTGAAATGGCTGAAGGAGCTGGAGCCTGAGACGTCATGCATGAAAGGTCAGCCCATGTACCTGACCTGTGAGCTGAACAAAGAGAGAGACGTGGTGTGGAAGCGTAACGGAGAGCTGCTGAAGAAGAAGGCTGGGAAAGTGGCCATCAACGTGATTGGGATGCAGCACGCTGTGACCATCCAGAACTCCACCGACGAGGACTCCGGCGTCTACACCTGCGAGGTCGACGGTCAGGAGGATGTCAAGACGACGACCAACGTCAAAGTGATTGGTGAGCTAAGAGCAGCTGCAGACGGTTTGGTACGGAACTTATCCAGACGTTTCTGTCTGCAGGTCCCATAAAAGCCGTCAAAGAGTCTGTATCACTTATTAAAGAGAGTCGTTGGTTAAAGAAATGACAAAGAATGCAAAAATTAAAAAGGTTTCTATAATTGAGGACAGATTGTAAAGAGACAAAACAGGAAACACACTGCAAAAACAATCTAGGAATGAGTAAAAATTACTTAAATTACATGCATTAACCCTTTATAGGGCACTCAGTGAAATACTTAGAAACATTTTTTTCAAGCCAGTATTGTTATTGGAATCAAGGACAAGGCCTTATTACCTTTGTACAATTCAAAGAATATTGATATTTTGATGCTAAAACTTAAAGTCAATGTAATAACAAGAAACGCCAACTTGCCCAAATATATAAAGAAAAAGCGTTTCATCATGACGTTTCCTAAAGTGTTTCTATAAGAATTTCATAAAAATCACTCTGAGAGTGAAAGAAACACATTTTTTTTGGTCCAACATAACCTTAGAGGCATTAATGCTGATACTGGCACTTACATTTTTTAGTTTATAAAACCTAAATAAAATTGTTAACTTGGCTTATTAACTTTTCAATTAACTTTTTACCTTGTTTTTCTTGATATGTTCACCTCTTTTTCCGACTTACAACTTACTTAAAGCCGGTAAATATGATGATCTTTCAATTAGATTAGTATTTATAAGATAATTTGATAACATGCACTTGAAATAAGACGATGCAGTTGTGTTCTCTTGTTTTATATGTAAATTCTCTTCTTCCATTGGCAAAGTGTCTCACTTACGTACCTCCTAAATTCAAGAAAACATGCACTTATTTTAAGAGAAAACCACTGGGATTTTTTGCAGTGCATTATCTCTAAAGTTTGCATGATTTTAAATGCAACGATTTAAGGGAGAATAGCCAGTAACAAGGCCGCCATGGACACTGGTGACATCATCCAGATGGAAGGACTGCATTTTCCTGCTGCGGTCGGCATCAGCAAACAGTTCAGGATTTAAAAAGGAAAACCAAGAAAAAAAAAATCTTTAAATGTTTGCTTCATGCAAAAAAAATGTCTTTAAACTAATTTATTACAATTCCTTGACACTCTTATCCTCTGCTTACCACAGGTTAGCTCATGTTTCCTAAAACAAAAATCTGTAAATGCTTGGTGTTTTCTAAAGGTTTCCAGAACAGCAAACATTGAATAATTACCATAACAAGACGATTCTGATCTAGATTAATATACAAGACAAACCAACTTCTCTACTTGGTTTTCTGACATCTTGTATGTTCATGTCTGCAATAGATGCCATCCAAGCCCTTTAACATTCGATATGTTTGAGGTCAGACCTGACCTGCTGCATTCTTCTTCTTGTTTCTGTAGAAATCATCAAAGACTGGCTGGTAAAGCCTCTGAGGGACCAGCATGTGAAACCAAAGAACAAGGCAACGTTTAAATGCGAGCTCTTCAAAGACACACCCAACTGGAAATGGTACAAAGGGGAGAATGAAGTCGCCCCTTCTGACAAGGTGGAAATTAAGAAAGACGGAAAAGATGTGAGCCTGACCATCAACAACTGCCAACCTGACGACGTGTCAGACTACACCATCGAGGTGGAGGACCGCAGATACACGGCCAAGCTCACACTGGGAGGTCCGTTCATGGAGCAAACCAACCTTTAAGCCTCCTAAAGTCCAGGGGTTTTCTGCCAAAGCATAAAAACGTCTTGTGATTTTTTTAGAGCGTGAAGCTGAGATCCTGAAACCTCTCGCCAGCGTTGAGGTGGTTGAGAAGGAGGAGGCTCACTTTGACACTGAGATATCTGAGGATGACGTTCCCGGCGAATGGAAACTCAGAGGCCAGGTTCTAACCAGATCACCGGTAAGTTCAACAAAAAAGATCACCTATCTCACTAATAAAATTATTAATGTTTATTCCTCCATTAGAAGTATAAATCTTAATGTTTAAAAACTCTTTTGTAGAAGTTAGAGGATCAACTTAGCTTTTTATTAAAGTAAAAGTGTAAAAATACAACAGAGTATTAGGGCCAGTGGCAGCTGATGGAGTTTTCTCCAGGGGGGTTAAATAAATTCAAAGTAGACGTATACCAAAAACCAATCAAACGTATGCTAAGTTATCACAGCCGTATATTTATATGAATAAAACAACAAAAAAAAACAAAAAAATGACTTTATAAAAACAAAACATAATTTCAAGGACAGGTTTACTATCCTTGGGTGAGATCATGAGGTTTGAAAAAGGAGGCAGGGAAAGCAGAATAAACCCTTAGCCTCACTGCATGCAGTTAGCCTAGCCTTGTTGCTAAACCAGGTCTTGGAAAAGGACGTTTCTTGCGCCATTTCTCTATCGCTACTCAACCTGCCAATCACCCGCAAAATATCCGCATTGTGGCGGGAGGGGGCTGAGCAAATAACACTTCCTGTCATTTCAGGGCGCCCAGAGCGGCGCCAAGAGCTCTCCTTTCCTTCTGCATTGAAGTACCATTTTTAAAACTACTTACTGAAGTATAAAAGTTAAAGTTTGCAGGAAAAGAAATTAAGGACATTAACCCTAACTTTGCATCATCTTGAGAAACTATTTATATTGCTGTGTGTAGCACCGAGTCCAAACACAAAGAAATTAACTAACTAATTATTTTGATTTAACGAAAATGAGCTTAAATGAAACAAAACTAACAAGTCTATTTTAAAATGTAAGGAGTATAAAGTAAAAAGTTGTATAGCTAGCCAATATTTCTACTGAAGTAACAAAGTATTTATACTTTGGTAGTTGACACATCTGGTTGTACGTTCTGTTTTGTGTCTTTCAGACTTGCGACATTAAAGCTGAGGGTCCAAAGCGCTTCCTGACGCTGAAGAACGTACAGCTGGATCAGGCCGGAGAAGTTTCCTTCCAGGCTCTGAACGCCAACACCAGCACCATGCTCACCGTTAAAGGTATACATTTGTCTCACCCCAACCGCTCTCCTCCGTCTGTTTCTAGCTGCTGCATCCGTCTGTCCTGTGGAACGTTGGTGTCCTGAAAAACCCGCCTGTTTTTCTTCTGCTTTTGTCAATAATTGCTAAATTCTTCGCATCTCCCAGAGATCGAAATGGGCTTTGTTGACGAGCTGAAGGATGTGTCTGTGCCTGAAAAGAAACAGGCTAAGTTTGAATGCACCATCACCAAGGATGTGCCTAAGGTCATGTGGTTTAAAGGGGTTGAAATCATCACCCCAAGCCCCAAATATGAGCTAATTGACGATGGGAAGAAACACATGCTGATTATAAACAGCTGTGAGTTTGACGATGAGTCTCAGTACACCGTAGAGGTGTTGGACCGAAGATCCACCGCTCAGCTGACGGTGGAAGGTAAGATCTGTCCCGCTTCCCGTCCCCTCTGCGTGCTCATTGTGTCTGTGGTGTCTACGTGTCGGACGGCATCAAACGCTCCTGTCTGTTTGCGCTCACCTGCTGTGTTCCAGGCATGAGGCTGAAATTTGTGCAGCACCTGCAGGATCAAACGATCAAAGAAGGTAACACGGTGCGCTTTGATCTGGAGCTGACGCACGAGAACGTGCCTGTAGTTTGGTACCGAAACGAGGTGAAGCTCCACGTGAGCCGAACCGTGCTCATGCACACGGAAGGACGGCGGCACACCTTAGAAATGAGGTCGCTGAGTTTAGATGATACCTGCCAGATAAAGGCAGAAGCCAAAGGAATTTACTCCTCAGCCAAGCTGACAGTTATAGGTAACAGCATGTCCTCTTTCTCTGGGTTTATTTACCAGTTTATCTCCACCACATTTACAGATGATGTAAACAAAAACACAATCTGGATTAATGAGGAAATCAGAGATTAAACGAATTGTTCAATCTGCTCCTCAGAGGGAGACGCCGTCTTCCTGGTGAAGCTACAGGATTACACCGCCACCGAGAAAGACGAGGTGACGCTGGACTGCGAGCTGAGCAAGGATGTCCCCGTGGTCTGGTATCATGAGGAGAAGGAGGTCATAGCCTCCAAACTGGTGGTGATGAGGTCAGAGGGCACGCGCAGGTCTCTGGTCCTGAAGAAGGTCGCGCAGAACGATCAAGGAAAATACGTCTGTGACTGTGGGACGGACAAAACCTCTGCCAGCATCCTGATAGAGGGTAAGAGGGCGGATCTGCTCTGGATTCCGACAGGGAAGGTTCCTGATCGGATGTTCAGGAGAACCCAGAACCAGTAGAACCAGTAACATCTAAATAGTCCCTGATGGTTCAGCAGACGGTCACTGAGATGCTGAAATGTGACCAAATGATGGAAACCATCTAAAATTATTCTTTCTGTTTTTATTTTTAGCTCTTTTTGAAGTTTGCATCAACATAACTGTTTATTAGTGATTCTATGAATAAGATATTAGTTTTACATGCTTATAATATTTCACTGTCACTTCCTGTCCTCCAGCACGCGACGTGAAGGTAGTCAGACCGATTTACGGCGTGGAGCTGTTTGACGGAGAGACGGCTCGGTTCGAGGTGGAGATCTCAGAGGACGACGTCCACGGCCAGTGGAAGCTGAACGGAGAAGTGCTCAGTCCATCCTCTGTGTGTAACCACCCCCCCCCCCTCCACATGGCTTCATCTGGTCCTGACCTTGACATGACCTTGGTTTAACTTCTCATTTGGCAGGATGTGGACATCATCGAGGAGGGAGGCAAACACACTCTGATTCTCTACAACTGTAAGGTGTCCATGACCGGGGAGGTGGCCTACTCTGCTGCCAATGCCAAATGTTCTGCCAACCTGAAGGTCAAAGGTGAAACAGGCTCCCTTCACCAACAAACACTTTTAATATCACATCAAGTTTTTACAAACAGGAGGACAGGAACCATAACCTCTGCCAGTGAGGTAGAATGTAGCGTTCTGTTTGTAGCATCTTTAAGATGATAAACGCCTCTTTATTAACGTGTTTACCGTGTTTGCTTTGCCAGACAATGAATAAAAATCTGTTCCGGTTACCCGTTTCCAGGCATGCATGTCTGATACATACTTTGAAACAGTCACTTCTGTTGCTTTTAAACTGGAACCAATCAGAGGTCGATGCTGCACTGCTTTTCATGGCGGCCTGCCAACCGAATAAAACAGGAAGCCTCCCGTAGGAAGTGAACGCCATCAGCTTTAGGCCCTTAAAGCAGACGGCCTTAATAAAGGTGCAATAAAGAGTTAGAGCAGTGGTCTCCTACCCCCCTGGTCCTTAAGATCTGCTGTCCTGCAGGTTTTAGATGCATCCCTGCTTCAACACAGCTGAATAAAATGACTGATTACCTTTTTCAGCATGCCATCAAGTTTGCTAAAGGCTCCCTAAAAAGCCATTCATTTGATTCAGCTGTTTTGGAGCAGGGATGCATCTAATTCCTGCAGGAAGGTAGAGGGTTTGAGGGCTTGAGGACCAGGGTTGGAGACCACAGAATTAAGAGGAGCGCAGGTCAACACGGCCTTGACTAAAAGGATCAGGTTATAAGTAATAAACAAAATGTTCTTTTTGCTTTATTTCTCTAATAGAACTAAGATATGCTGAATAAATATAAATTAATGCAACATCCATTGAATGTTTGTCACTTCTAACCTGGCCATCATCCAAAAAGCAAAAGAAAGTGTCATTTAGCAGCTCATTAAACCCTTTCTTTTATTCCACTTTTCTTACTTTAACACATCATACTTTCCTTAAAGCTCCAGACTAAGTTGTTTTATTTTCTTATCCTTTGCTGCAGAACTTCCTCTGAACTTCCTTACGCCTCTGAGCGACGTCCAGGTTTACGAGAAGGATGAAGCCCGCTTTGAGGTGGAGGTGTCCAGACCTCCCAAGAGCTTCCGCTGGCTCAAAGGCTCTCAGGAACTGACGAGCGACGACAAGTATGAAATGATCCAAGAGGGGAAAATGTACGTCCTGCTGATCCGATCGGCGGCCTTTGACGACGAGGCCAAGTACATGTTTGAGGCAGAGGACAAGAGGACGACCGGCAAACTCATCATTCAGGGTAACAGATTCGCGCTTCAATCTGAGGCGCCACGCTTCTCTGCTGTTATTAAATACATAAAATAATTTGTTTTTGTACGACTTTATAAGAGTTCTGTTTAGTTTTCTTCTCACGTTCTCCTGCTAACAATGGGCTTGTTTTCCGTTGGCAGGTATTCGCCTGGAGTTTGTCAAACCCATTAAAGATGTGACGGTAAAAGAGCGGGAAACCGCAGAGTTCAGCATTGAGCTCTCTCACGAAAACATCTCGGTGATTTGGTACAAAAACGACGTCCGGCTGCTTCCCAGTAAGGTCATCCACATGTCGGATCACGGAAAGGTCCACACTCTGGCCTTCAAGGAGGTGACCATCGACGACACGTCTTTGATCAAGGTGGAGGCCATGGACAAGAGCATGACCGCCATGCTCACCGTCATTGGTCAGTGTTGCGTCGAATCCGTTCTCCGTTTACGGTTGGCTTTCTGACTCACGTAAAAATCTGCTGTGGTTCCAGAGGGCGACATCTACTTCACCACCAAGCTGCAGAACTACACTGCCGTGGAGAAGGACGAGGTGAAGCTGGTCTGCGAACTCAGCAAGGCTGCCGCCGACGTGAAATGGTTCAAGGATGGGCAGGAGATCACCCCGTCCAAGAACATCGCCATCAGCGCTGACGGAAAGAAGAGAATCCTGATGGTCCGTAAGGCGGAGAAGGCTAACATCGGAGAGTACACCTGCGACTGTGGTTCAGACAAAACCACAGCCAACCTGAAAATCGAAGGTTCGACCCAGTTTATTTACTTTAACAGAAGCCGTTTAACAGAAACCGGACTCTTTTCCTGCATCAAAGCGTATTGTTTACACGCAAAGTCTATGGGGGGCGGCGTCCAGAGGTCCAGATGCGCGTTGGGAGCTGAGGTTCAGTAAAATGAACTTTGCCGCTGGATGCCAGAGTATCAACCAATCAGAAAAGCTGATTCTTATCCCAAAGTTTCTTTGGGAAACACACTCTACCTGCAAGCTATCATCACTTCTGCAGACATTATGCATATGAAAAATGAATAAATATCAAGGAGTTAAACTCCAAAGGTTAAAAAAAAAGCTAGAAGAATGGATCGTTATGTAGAAGTACTGAAGCCGAGAGCGGCCATACTCAACTTATTCTCAAGATAATGAAATAACTACCGTAACTATCTCGTTATCACGGTTCAACCATAAACGGTTTTCGTTATGTTTAGATAATCAGAAAATTAACTTTTCTTCTCAAGATTGTGAAAAAGTATCTGGGGGACACGACCGCTCTGGGCTTCCATAGTAGAAGGAACAGAGAGCAGCTCTGATCATTATTGCTGCACTAAAACCTTTTTATGAACAATGAAGAAACTGTTTATAAATACCTAAATTAACTAGATGTTCAAACCTGCAGAAGAAAAATATTGGATTATATATTCTGGTACAGTTTTTACCACAAACCTTAAAAACGCTTTCTATTTACTTCCTGCCGCAACGATCGGCAGCTGGAAATCCCCCTCAGGCTGCAGCAGCACAGAGCTTTCAGCTGGGATTTCCAGCGCTGCCACCTGGCGGTATGCTGGAGGTCTGGAGCTCCCAACAAGAACTGCAGATTATAGTGGGATTATAATCCTGATGAAACGATGAACAGAGGATGTTTGGAGGTGGACTTTCTCGCTTAAAAATGTGTTAAAACTATTTTTCTAACTCATAAAGTAAATAAAGCCAAGTTGCTCTCCAGCTTGAAGCTACAGAACAGAGCAGATAAACAACCAGAGTGTTGAAGTGGAAAAGCAACTGGACCACAGTTTCATCCAGGGTCCGCCTACAGTGTGAACGCAGCATTAGAGTTTGTATGAAAACAGTTTAGCAGATCATTTTACAGAATTATGCTTTTCTGTTCTTTATTGACATTTAAAAAAATCCCTCCAGAAAAACATCATCCAAAGGTTGCCATAACATAAAACAGACCATAAATCACGAAAACAAATAAGCTCATCACTATCAACCAATCATCTTTATTACCCGGCTACATATGCTAAGTTGAACTCCAACAACTCTGACAGTGCAGACTGCTAAGATTTTCTGTATTTAAGGACAGATTAAGGTCAATATCTAAAGGATCAATGGTGTTTATGAACTCATATAAACGACAGTATCATCAGCATACTGCAGCGTATCCCCGTTAGTTTAAACCTGCTAACAGCTTCATGTTTTCTTCACAGAGCGTGACATCAAGGTTGTCCGTCCGCTGTACAGCGTGGAGGTCACCGAGACGGAGACCGCTAGGTTTGAGACGGAGATCTCTGAGGAGGATGTCCATGGAAACTGGAAGCTGAAGGGAGAAGCTCTGCACCAGTCAGCTGTACGTCTCCACAGAACAAAGACTATTTTTCTGAATGAAGGCCGTTAAAAATCTGACTCTGTTGTCTGAATTGTTTTCCTTCAGGATGTGGAGATTAAAGAGGAAGGAACCAAACATCTGCTGATTCTCTATAACGTCCGTATGGACATGGCTGGGGCTGTGGACTTCTCTGCAGCCAATGCCAAATCCAACGCTCAGCTCAGGGTCAAAGGTCAGACAGTCTTCCTCTACAGCAGCTCCTTCAGTGAACCTAATGATTGCAAACCTTTACTGAGCTGCAGCTTCCTTCTTTTAAGTTAAACATGCTGTAGGATCTTTGTTATCAACCGCTTGGAACTCATTGTCTGTTAGTCCTCAGCCAATCAGAGCCTGCGGTTATTTTCAGCCACTAGTTTATCTGCTCTGTGAAGCCTTCTGCTTCGTCATGAGAGCAGCTTCCCGACTCTCCAACAGGTTCCCAACTTTGACCTGCTTCTCTTTCAGCTCGCTCCATCACACTGATGCGTCCTCTGAAGGACGTTACGGTGACGGCGGGAGAGACGGCCACCTTCGAGTGTGAGCTGTCATACGACGGAATCGAAGTGGAGTGGTTTGTTGGAGGACAGAAGATGGAAGCCAGCGATCGGGTAATTTACAGCACCTCACGACAAACCGACTACAAACACAACCAGAGCCTAGAGAGAAAACCACAGCAGCTCTACATGCAGAGACATTGGGACACAAAATAACCAGGAGTCCAAACAACTGGATATAGAATAAATGTTTCAGCAGGAACAACAGGAAAAAAGGTTTCCAGTTTTAGAAAATAAAAGTAAAAATTTTTATTTCCAATTTTAGAAGAGAACTACATTTAAAATAAAATGACAGACATTAAAAACGGAAAGAAGTTTTTTTTTCTTCGGTAACCAGCTGCTATAAAGGCTAAAGATCTGAATCTTTTCACTTTATGAAGAAAAACGTTTATAATATCAGATGTTTTTTCTAGATTTAGCTACAGAATCCCTTCATTTAATCTTTTTTTTTCTACTTTTTTGATCTTGGATAAGAGTTTAAAGTTAAACCTTTAAAAACACACGGGTAAAAGCAACAGCCAGACCCTCTGTCCTGATCAAATGTTTAACACCGTTAAGGCCGAGGTAAAAATAACATCAGATGTGAGAGCAGCAGCTTTTATCTGCATTCCTCCAACCGTCCTTTATCTGCACCGAGGCCTGGTCCAATCACAGCGCACAGACGCCACTACAGGAAGTAATCTGTGAGGGAGCAGGTCTCTATCTATGGCAGCAACCTCACTGGGCGAACAGAAGGAAGAAGACAAAGAAATGTCCCCCCCCCTGTCCCTCGTAAAGTCTAGAAGCACTAGATCTATATCCAGCCATTCAGTAAAGACAATTCTACATGGCTCTACATCTTATTTTGGCATCTGACCAATTAGATGAGCCCTTGAATGATAGAAATTAAGTTGGAAAAAAAGTTAACAAGTCAAGTAAAAAAGGTAAAAAGTTGATTGAAAAGTGAAAAAGTAAAGTTCAAAATTTAATAAGCTTAGTTAACTATTATATTTGTTTATAAACTAAAAAATGTCAGTGCCAGTATCAGCATTAATGCCTCTAAGGTTATGTTGGACCAAAATATTTTGTTTCTTTCACTCTCGGTATCTTTCATGAATTTCTTATAGAAACACTTTTGTAAATTTTCTTAATAAATTCAGGCAAGTTGGCGTTTCTTGTTATTACATTGGCATTCATTTTTTCCATCAAAATATCGATATTCTTTGAATGATACAAAGGTAATAAGGTCTTGTCCTGGATTCCAACAACACTTTTTCATGGAGCGGCCTATAAAGGGTTAAGGATCTGGAAGGGTTTTTTTTTTTTGCTTTTATGTGGAAAAAGAAGCTTCTAAAAAGTGTTGCTTTGAGACAAAT